ATCTATCTATCTATCTATCTATCTATCTATCTATCTATCTATCTATCTATCTATCAGCAAAATACCCCTCATGCATCATCACAAAATCTCCAGGAACCGTCAAGCCTACAAACTTGAAATTTGGCACATATGTTTTTCTTGGCTTTTAGGCGTTCACTAAGAAAGGATTTTTCAAAATGACCATCAGAACATTAGCATTCTGCATATTATTATTATTAACATGCTCTGATGCTGAGGAGTTCTACTCCCCCCTCCCCATCTGAAAAAAAATCTGTTCCAAATGCAAAACGCAAGCAGAGGAGAGGAGTTTCAGTTTCAGTTTTAGCTTCACAGCACCAAGCAGCTTTAGTACAGAACAGTTGAGCTAAGCCACGCCCAGGCTCCTTGCAGTCTCCTTCTTGCCCACAAATGCTGTTTCAGTTTCCAAACCGCCCTCAACTCTCTCACACATTGACAGGAAAGAGAAAAATAAGATGCAAAATCAATACAATGTTAGAAAGCAAAAGAAAAGAGGAATACAACAGAGAGGGGAAGCTAAAAAGGCGGAGGTTATGGGGGGGGGCGGGTAAAAAGGCTAGGTGGGATAAGAAAGGAAGGGAAAAGGGGGGAAAAAGCCACAAAGGTATGAAACAAGATGGGAAAAAGCAATTTTTTTTTAGGGATAAAGGGTAATGTATAATTTAAAAAAAAAAGATTCTGCAAAGTACATATGATAGTATTGTAGTACTTGTATTAGAAATAGAAAATTAGAATTTTATAAGATCTAATAAAAGATTTAAATATTAAAATGCTTAATAATGATAGATTTTAAGATTTAATAAAATACTAAAGGGAATGTTTAAAATATTTAGTTTAATTATAGAGTTTAAATGGCTATTGTGTTGATGTTATTATAAACTTATTATTGCAGCATCTGTTTTTGAAATAGACAATTGGAATGTTACAAGTTTTAATAAATTAAGATATTAAATGTTTAAGATTTAATGATAGACTTTAATATTTAATTATGTAAATTATTTTATAGATTTATTATTCTTTCTTTTTCTTAAAATTTAGTAGGCAGAATGTACTAAGCAGAATCAGACTGGGATTTAGGTGTTATTTTAAATGTCAATCTAGGGGAACGATAGAAAGGCATCATACTTCGATTAGTGATTTCAGGAGAAACCTTTTTTTTATTATAGAGAATGAGATAAATGGTTAATTGGAAAAGAATGGACAAAAGATACAAGTATAATGATTTAAAGTAAGATGAAATAAATAAAATAGAATTAAGAAGAGTGAAAAGCGGGGAGAAGTTATATAGAAGATATAGAATGGTAAATAAGATAGGTAATGGTATATAAGATGAGCATGAATTTAATTGAAGTCCGTACAAAGAGAGGTAATCTGGGGCCAAGCCACTTTCTAAAAAGAAGTTTTATGTTTTTGTGTTTTGTGTGTTTATGTTTGATTGAGAATTAATAAAACCTTGGAGGAATGTCAGATGAGAATAATTGTAAATAAGTCAGAGGGAAATATAAATATGACTATAAAATAGATAAATATAGAAAAGAAATGTAATTGAATAAGAGTAAAGAGAAATAATGAGTAATTTGTTAAAAGATATTTATGTGTCCATATGGAAATGGGATAAATTAGAATTATGTGGTATAAAATAATGTTTTATCTGCCCTGTAAAGATTTACAGTGGAAAGAGGTTTTATGTTTTCAATGTTTAATGATGTTTCGTTTGTCTTTAAAACTAATAAAATTTGGTTTGTTTTTTTTAAAAAAAGACACATTTCCTTCTTGAAAAACACGAAACATTTATTTTGTCTTCATCGAGAGACAGAAATGGAGGACAGAATAAGAAACATCATAAATACTCATAAATACATCTTCAATATGTAAATAATCCAAATAAATAAATAAATAGGAAAATAGGAAGATACTTTTCCAGGAAGTTCTTATGAACAACTCCCACCAAAGCACCCCCATTTTTTAGGGTACATACATCCCAATTGGGACTTTCCATAAAAACGTTACAGTGCTCCATGTTCCATGTTCAGCACTGTCTCCTCCCTTTCTTTACTCACGTCTCTTTTATCAAATCTTAGTGGATTTGGGGGCAGAAATATTACCCTCATTTTCTCCCCCTCAAACTTTTTTTTTATTTTTTTTTTAAATAATTTTTGCCTGGCCCGTGAGATTTGAGCAATTAATATTTCATTTGCTGCCTGAAATGTGCTACCACGATTCCACTAACCACAGTTTAGCCTTTGCGGGGGAACACCCTTGGGTGAAGAACACCCATCGCTCTGTCCCATCCTGAAAACAGGTTCCCTTTAAGGACTCGGCAGAACTTCCGTCGCTGAGTGAAGCGGTCCTTATGTAAGTCACACTGGATTTTACAATCCCTTTTTTCCCTATCAAATTACTGTAAAGTAATTTGTGTGGTTGTTGTAAATGTGGCTTCCTCTCTTAGCTTTGCTTGACCTGGTTTTGAACCTCATCCTGGAGGGATGGCTGCCCCCTAATGCTTTTAACAGGCCACAAAGCTGCTTTATGAAGCATCTCAACTCCACTGTTCCAGAAAGGAGCCTTATCTACCCATCCCCCTCTATCTGGTTGAAGATAACCCATGGCAAGAGTTGGCATTTCCTGCACAAAGCCCTACCTTTGACCAACAAGCTCATAGGATGGGTCAGTATCCTGAATCCAGCTACGGTTAGTCTTGAAAGGGTTCTGCTGAGATCCAATGAGATCATCCTAGCTGACTTGGATAACTTCTACTCATTTTGGGATATTGTGAGATCATAGGCACTGTTTTGGAAGAGAACTGCTTGTCTATGGAGATTCTCCGTCATCCTGGTCACGGTTGTCCCAAAGATGCACTTTTTTTCAAGGGGCAACTGGACTTTTTACTTTGAAGACATTTCACTTCTCATCCAAGAAGCTGTTTGGCCAAAGGACTGAGTTCTGCAGTAGCACCAGAAAAGCTACCGGTTGTAGATCTTGTCCCAGCCAATGAAAACTGAAGGAAGCTTCTTGAATGAGAAGTGAAACGTCTTCCAAGACATTGGAGGCATTGGAAATACATGTTGGTTTGCCAAGAGCCCAAAATATTTGATCGCAGGACCTTTTCAGCACTGCTGAATAATCAAGGATTACTTGTTCACTGGGCCAGACTTCAAAACTGACAATTATTACCCTTCAGGCTGATAATTCTTTTTACTAATCTTTACCTACAGAGTTTCCGTTCGATGTAGAAGAAAAATGAGTGCTTTGATAGTGACTTTGCATTTTCAGCATGGATAAAGCTCGTAAGAAATCAAAAAAGCAAAGATACCAGTAAGTGAGATGCTGTACAGCAGAATAAAACAATAGTATAACAGTTGCAGTGGGAATCAAGCACAAATAATTAATTCCCAAGAGAATTGGATCTAGCCCTAATCTGGTGCACTGTTCCCACAGAAGACTTTTTTCTAGGAGTTTTCTGCCTCTTCCAAACTCTCCTCTCGTATCTTGACATCCCGGGTTAGAAGGAGTCGGGCATGACCTGGATTTGAACCCCAGCCCAGAGGGATGGCTGTCCATTTAATGTTTTTAACAGTCCACAAAGTTACTTTATGGAGCATCTCAACTCTGTTCCTCCAGAAGGGAGACTCATCTGTCCATTCCAGTCCATCGGGTTGTAGATAACCCATGCCAAAATACTGAGATTTGGCACTTCCGGCACAAAGCCTACCTTTGGCCAACGGGTTGCTGGGACGGGTCAGCATCCTGAATCCAGCTAAGGTCCAGCTCAGGAGGGAGTCTGGCTAAGTCCCAAAGGAAGAAACTCATGGAGATGATCTTGGCTGAATCGGATTCCTTGGACTCGTTTTGCAATGTTGTGAGATATGTCATGTCTGGAACTGTTTTGGTTTGCTCCTCCACAACAGTCTCACTTTCTCATGTTGACCCTTGTAAAAACTTAATTGTCCATCTCTATAATAGAGGCTGTTCACCCTTTTTTCTCCTGCTGCGTTGACCCACAGATTTTGCTTATTTAAAGATTCTGGGCATTCTTTTTTGACTTAGAGTCAAATCAAGTCAAAGATTCAACCAACAACATGTTGGCAACCTTGCCATCTCTGCCAGTCTTCTGTGGGTGGACTGTGGCATGACAAGAACTCTATATACCAGGGGTCTTCAAACTTGACAGTTTTAAGACTTGTGGACTTCAACTCCCAGGATTCTTCCTCCAGTCATGTTAGTTCAGGAATTCTGGGAGTTAAAGTCCAAAAGTCTTAAGCTTGCCAAGCTTTGAAAACCCTTGGAATACATCCATGATGGCGAATCTATGGCACATGTGCCAGAGGTGGCACACAGAGCCATTTGTGCCGGCACACGAGCTGCAGGCAAACTTACCTCACTGCACATGCGCACGCCTCACAGCTGATTTTCGGCTTGTTTGAGGAAGTCTTCTGCAGGCTTTGCAGGCCAAAAACTAGCCCCGTTTCATCACTTCCTGTTTTTCTGACAATACCGGAACTGATGAAACGGGGCTAGTTTTCGGCCTGCAAAGCCTGCAGAAGCCTTCCTCAAGCCTCTGGGAGGCTGAAAAAAGCCTCAAACCGGCCGAAAATCAGCTGTGAGGCGCAGTGCAGGTAAGGGGGCGGTGGTGGGGATTGTGCATGCATGCATAGGGGGCCTAGGGGACGTGCATTGCCTTCTGGGTGCTGGCACAGAAGCGTGAGCGTGCAAGTGCGCACACAATTTTTAGCACAGGAGCCCAAAAAGATTAGCTACCACTGGTATATACTGTCTGTACAGCATTATGGGCAAAGCTTAAACATTGAAACGTTGATAGAACAAAAAGATATAAAACTCGCCTCATAACTCACGTTTGTCATTCAGGTTGGTAAGAACCATGGGAAAGAACCAAGAAGAGGCCTAAAGATAGTCCTTGAGATACAACGACGATTGAGCCCCCAGCGAAACATTTGTTGTGAGCTCCATTTTAAGCCTTTTCCTGCCAGAGTCGTTTAAATGAATCTTAACTGCCACTGTTGAAGTTAGTAAGACGGGTTCTTAAGGGAACCTGGATTCCCCCTTTGACATGGCTCATCAGAAGTGGGCTGGACTAGATGACTTCCAAGGCCCCTTCCAACTCTGTTAAATCTGTTAAAGGTCGCAAAAAGGGGCATCGCGTTAAGCCAGGCAACTGTACAAAGACCTGTCAGTGGCAAGCGATTTTGATCACGTGGCCCCCCAGGAACATCACAATGGTCGCAGGTGTGGAAAACATTCCTATGTGTCCCCCTTTTTTAAAGCGCCGTTGTAACTTTGAACGGTCACTAAATGAACCTGTTGTAAGTCGAGAACTACCTGTACACAGTTGTGACCCCCTCCCCTCCTTATTCTGAACAATTCATCTGGGAAAAAAAGGAATTTCACTTTCTTTGACGGTTCAGGAGAAGAAGTCCAGTTCTCGTCTCAGGTTCAGAAACTTGTTCGGGGGCTTGGAAATCTTCGGCTCAATGTGGCGCCGTTTGGGTCTCTCTCCTCAGAATTTGAGCTGATCAAGCAAGGGTGGATGCCCACCTCATCTGGGCTCTCTTCCGGGATCTTTCCCGCCAAGATACCCCCACAGTTCTCACCATCGTCGTCCCTGGTGTCTTCCTCCTGAGGCCTTGGCGTGATGAACTGGCTTAAGGGGATTTCGTTCCTCCTGGTTAAAAACTGAGAGAAAGCCGGAGGATTCATATTGGGGAACAGCGGTTGCTTGGCCCTCCCGAGGCTAACCAGGTAATTGTACTTGGGGGATTGGTAAATATCATAGCCGTTTTCCAGCATCGTGTGCTTAAAGACGCAGTCCTCGTTGCCGAAGGCATTCTAAAAGAAACAAACACCGCAGAAATGTTAAGAACAGAGGTGAAAAATCAAGCCGTTACCTTATGGTAAAAAAAACATCCGCAGCATATTTTGGTCTCGAATATTTTTCAAACATTTTGTGATGACCCAAAGAGGCGTGGCACAAAAGCAACACAGTCGCATAAGTAAGAAAAGTCCCTTTAATACCTCAACTTTGCTCCCAATGCCCAGTTACCGTCGGCTGGAGAAAAAAACTCCCAAGAACAGTCTTTAAGGGGAGGAAATTCAGTCCGAAAACAAAGTACTTATAAACTGTAAATAAAAATCCACACAATCTATGCTACGCCAACTAACTGGACAGGACAGGATAAGGAATTGCAGAGTTCAAAGGCCAACAAAACACATAAAGTTGGGAAGACGCCAGGAACCCAGATGAGCCTCGACCATAAAAGATAATTCACGAGATTTGCTTCCCACGAATTGCTGTGAGCAACCTCCCTTTTTAAACACTGTGTTCCCAGATGCAGCTAATGAAGGGAATCAGGGCCCTTTCCTTCCCCGTAAGCCATGCAATATTGCTCCCTTCTCTGTTCCTCCCTGCATGCCCTAGGATGAAGAGGGGGTGGGCCTGGTTCTTCCTCCGAAGTCCCTCTGCCTTGCTCTACCTCTCCCCTGCTCTGCCCAGCCAGACTGTGCCCTTCCCCAGTTTCTTCCACAGCCACTGGACCCACATTCCCACTCCCTGTCAACTGCTCGGCCTCCCCCTTGGAATCAGATTCTGACAGGGGCATGACACCTTTCTTGCCACAGTTGTTAAGTGAATCACAGGGACATGACACATTTGTTCTTTCTGCAGAGTGGTACAGTGGCCTAGGAGTGGAGCTCTTGCCTTGCAATCAGGAGGCTGTGAGTTCGATCCTAGATAGAGGCAGATATTTCTCTCTCTGGGCACACTGAGAATATGTCTGCTGAACAAAACTCCACATTGGAGACAGGAAGGGCATCCGGACATTAAAACACCCTGTTAACTCCATTCAGTTGCCCAGACTCCACCCCTTAAAGGATTACAGGGTCGTTAAAAGATGATGATGATTTGTTTTTTCTACAGATAGTCCCCTCAACTTACAGCATTTCATTTAGCGACCATTCCAAATCACCATGGGACTGAAAAAAACTGACTTATTTGACAATTTTTCACACTTACGACCATTCGGCTACCCCCACAGTCACATGATCCAAATTCGGATGCTTGGCTACCAACTCAGATTTATGACAGTTGCAGCGTCCTGGGGGGGGGGCGGCTGTCAGATGATCCTCTTTTGTGACCTCCTGAGAAGCAATGGTGAAGCCAGGTTCCACTTAACAACAACAGGTGTTCCTGACTTCACAACTGCAGTGATTCACTTAACAACTGTGGCACAAAAGGTCACAGTGACCTTTTTTAGTGACTGCTCCAAGTTACAATGGCACTGAGAAAAAGTGAATTGTCAATGCATATTTTTCCTCAATGTTTGCATTCAACACGTTAGGAAGAAAAGTAGTTTTAAAGCACCGTTTTCTTGTTTATGATTATTTTATCTCCAGCCAAATCTTTTTCATCTTTTTTTTCCTTAAAAACTTTAGATAAAGTTTGTAAAGGTCAATTTCTTAATATAAACCAGAGAGTTTGGTAGCCTCTTAAATTTATCTACTTTTTAAATTACAGGTAGTCCTTAACTTACAACTGTTTGTTTAGTGACTGATAGAAGTTAGAACAGCACTGAAAAAAAGTGACTTAGGACCAGTTTTCACACTTACGACCATGGCACCACCACCCCACCCAACATGGTCACATGATCAAAATTCAGACGCTTGGCAACTGACTCACATTTATGACGATTGCTGTGTCCCTAGGTCGTGTGAACCCCTTTTGCGACCTTTTAACAAGCAAAGTCAATGGGGAAAGCCAGATTGACTTAATGACCATGTTATTAATTTGACAATTGCAGGGATTCATGTAACAATTGTGGCACGAAAGGTTGGAAAATGGGTCAAAACTCACTTAACAATAGAAACGGACTCCGTTGGGGTTGTAAAATGAGGACTTAACGCCTTGGCTGCACTGGGAAAGGAGTCAAATAACCCCAAGTAAATATTAGGACTCACCGATCCAAAGAGATTTCCGTTAACGTCCATGCAAAGGTGGAGTCCGCTCTTCGCACCAATGATCACTGCATATCCTGCACTTTCTGTTTTGATTGTCAAAGCACCTGGAAGTGAACAGTTTAAATATTAGGAGAGCTCTTTGTACATTTCTTAAGGCAGAAATAGCAACTTCAAATATCAGAACATTATGATATGATTTGATGCCTTCTCGGTCTTCCCAAATTCTGGCCAGTGGTGGCAAAACATTTGCCCAAAGACTCGGTCAAATGGGAAAACTCTTTTTTGAACTAAGATATTGAGCTTGTCTATCAGAAAGGTCGGCAGTTCGGCAGTTCGAATCCCTACCGTCGTGTAATGGAGTGAGCTCCCGTTATTTGTCCCAGCTTTTGAAACCATGTAAAAATGCAAGGAGGAAAATAGGGACCCCTTTGGTGGGAAGGGAACAGCATTCCGTGCGCCTTCGGGTGTTTAGTCATGCCGGCCACATGACCACGGAGACGTCTTCGGACAGCGCTGGCTCATTGGCTTTGTAATGGAGATGAGCACCGCCCCCTAGAGACGAAAACGACTAGCACGTATACGCGAGGGGAACCTTTACCTAAGTCCTTTAATTCAGGGAAGAGTTTAAGCAACTGGATGGAGTTGAACATTTACTGGCCCTTCCTGACGCCACCCTGGAGTTCACAAAAGATATCTTGTCTTTGCACCCTGGGAGAGAAATATCTGCCGCTATCTCGGATCGAACTCTCAACTTTCCAAGTTGGAGGCCAGCATTTTCACTACATCAGTCAAGGGGGAAAACAGTGGGTGGGGAAGGAAGGGGATTTTGCAGTAACCTTCTCCCTGGAGTGGGGTGGAATGGAGATTTTGCAGTATCCCTCTTCCCATGCCACACCCACCAAGCCACGCTACACCGACAGAACCGGTAGTAAAAAATTTGAATCCCACCACTGCATGGAACCCATTCCATTTCATTCATATTTTCTACTCTATTCTATTCCATTCCATTCTATTCTACATTTTTTTATTCTATTCCATTCCATTCCATTGTTTCTGATTCGATTCGGTTCCATTCGATTCCATTCCATTTGATTCCATTCCATTGTTTCTGATTCTATTCTATTCTATTCTATTCTATTCTATTCTATTCTATTCTAT